GCAGCGGTGGAAACAACAGGGCAGCGGTGGAAACAACAGAGCAGCGGTGGAAACAACAGGGCAGCGGTGGAAACAACAGGGCAGCGGTGGAAACAACAGGGCAGCGGTGGAAACAACAGGGCAGCGGTGGAAACAACAGGGCAGCGGTGGAAACAACAGGGCAGCGGTGGAATACAGTGTGAGTCGTCAGGCTATCCACCTGGGAACAGAACCTGTTTGTTTATTTTCCTCATACCATGACAGAAAACCATTCTCTCATTCCCATACATACAAACAACTCACTCTCCAGTTTAAAGTTTAAACCTATTTACCTTGGTCGATTGTCAATCTACATTTGTGGTCCTCTGTAGCTCAGCTGGTAGAGCACGGCGCTTGTAACGCCAAGGTAGTGGGTTCGATCCCCGGGACCACCCATACACAAAAATGTATGCACGCATGACTGTAAGTCGCTTTGGAAAGAAGTGTCTGCTAAATGGCATATTATTATTATTTGATTTATTTGTATATGTGTATAATGTATTTATAGAACAGACAGACAGATGTAGGATCTTAATTTGATCACTCTTTTGCTGCTGAGAATGTGTAGTGTTTTTGAGTTTTAAAAAGGCCTCTAAAGTTTATAATGTCCACTTTGACATTTCAGACTTGATTTTCCATAATGAAAAATGTATCAACCCCTACAAAAATGTCCATGATTTATATAATCTACATAATACTTCACATTTCCTGTTGCTGCAGGATTACTTTCCTGCTGTAGCAAACTGGGTCAAATGAAGATCCTACATCTGTACAGGGCTGGTTATGCAGCTGTGCTGACGAAGCAGGACTCGCAAAATAGACCAACTATATCAAAGTTCTACAAAATATGTTTCTGTAGCTAGAGACTTCACTTACATTGTAATTTACTGAACACATCTATTGACTTACTCTTTTAGTACTTTTTCTTGAATTAAAGTTGTCATATAAGGGAAACCTGCCATAGCACCCCCTTATTTTCCTAAGTTGTCATATAGGAAGGCTGTGGTCTTGCTTCATGAGTTGTCATATAGGACGTCTTTGGTCTAGCTTCCTAAGTTGTCATATAGGAAGGCTGTGGTCTAGCACCCCCCACACTACCCTTCCTTTGTCCCAGTCGGGATTGGAAAGTTAATAAAGAACCTTCAAAGGCATGCTTGAGTCAGACTTGAGTAATCCGTAACGACGAGTTAGTCCCTGCTGCTTGCTGATCCCTCTACTCATTAGCCCCCAGAGGAATGCAGGGGTCAGATGTGAAGAGCTGGGCTGCTGCTGGAGCCTCTGAGGGGCTTGTGGGATCAAATAGGGAGATGTGGAGCAGCTAGACGACAGACTACAGAGATAATGTCAGCAGGCTTTAAAAAGAGATTTACTGGCCTGTCCAACCATCATGCCTTTGCTGTAGTCTGGTCCAGACCTGGGTTCAAGTAGTATTTTAAATATTTTCAAATACTTAAGATGTGTTTGATTGAGCTTGCCTGGCTTAATGGACCTACAGTTGTGCAGCAGGATCTTAATTTCACCACCCTGTTGCGGGATAACATTTTAAAACTTGCAGTTTATTCTGAGGCTTAAAAAGGCTTCTGAAGTTTGCAATTCAATACTTGATTTTCCCAGATTTTTTTTTTTTTTTTAAATCAACCCCTACAAAAATGTCCATTAATGATAATCCACATAATAATTCACATTTCCTGATGCTGCAGGATTATTTTCCTGCTGTACCAAACTGGCTCAAATTAAGATCCTACATCTGTCCCAACCTGCCCACCTGGCACTCCAGGCAAGGCTAGAGAGAAAAAGTACTTGAATGATTTGAAACAAGATTTGAATACAGGTGTGGTCTTGTCTAACTGCTGGAGAATCTCCTCTCTGTTGAACAGAACACAGAACACTGTAAGTGTTCTGGAACAGGAGTTGACAGACTGGTGACAGGCAGTGTTGTTCAGGGAAAGCAGAGAACACTCAGCCACTCAAGCCGTGGTGAGGGATTTATTCCTCCTCTGGATCACTCCTCAGTACAGAGAGCAGAGCAAGACAGGCTCATTCAGGATCACTCCTCAGTACAGAGAGCAGAGCAGACCAGGCTCATTCAGGATCACTCCTCAGTACAGAGAGTAGAGCAAGACAGGCTCATTCAGGATCACTCCTCAGTACAGAGAGCAGAGCAGACCAGGCTCATTCAGGATCACTCCTCAGTACAGACAGCAGAGCAGAGCAGGCTCATTCAGGATCACTCCTCAGTACAGACAGCAGAGCAGAGCAGGCTCATTCAGGATCACTCCTCAGTACAGAGAGTAGAGCAGAGCAGGCTCATTCAGGATCACTCCTCAGTACAGAGAGCAGAGCAGACCAGGCTCATTCAGGATCACTCCTCAGTACAGACAGCAGAGCAGAGCAGGCTCATTCAGGATCACTCCTCAGTACAGACAGCAGAGCAGAGCAGGCTCATTCAGGATCACTCCTCAGTACTGAGAGCAGAGCAAGACAGGCTCATTCAGGATCACTCCTCAGTACAGACAGCAGAGCAGAGCAGGCTCATTCAGGATCACTCCTCAGTACTGAGAGTAGAGCAAGACAGGCTCATTCAGGATCACTCCTCAGTACAGAGAGCAGAGCAGAGCAGGCTCATTCAGGATCACTCCTCAGTACTGAGAGCAGAGCAGAGCAGGCTCATTCAGGATCACTCCTCAGTACTGAGAGTAGAGCAAGACAGGCTCATTTAGGATCACTCCTTAGTACAGACAGCAGAGCAGAGCAGGCTCATTCAGGATCACTCCTCAGTACAGACAGCAGAGCAGAGCAGGCTCATTCAGGATCACTCCTCAGTACTGAGAGTAGAGCAAGACAGGCTCATTCAGGATCACTCCTCAGTACAGAGAGCAGAGCAGAGCAGGCTCATTCAGGATCACTCCTCAGTACTGAGAGCAGAGCAGAGCAGGCTCATTCAGGATCACTCCTCAGTACTGAGAGTAGAGCAAGACAGGCTCATTTAGGATCACTCCTTAGTACAGACAGCAGAGCAGAGCAGGCTCATTCAGGATCACTCCTCAGTACAGACAGCAGAGCAGAGCAGGCTCATTCAGGATCACTCCTCAGTACTGAGAGCAGAGCAGAGCAGGCTCATTCAGGATCACTCCTCAGTACAGACTGCAGAATATGTAGTGAGGTTGTAAAAAGTGGTTACTAATTGACAGTGGGAAAGTGAAGTATCTTTTGACTTACATAAAGTATCTTTAGTGGAGTGCAAAACGGGCCATGGAGGTCTCAGAGGAAGTGGCTTCAGGCCACTACAAGTTGAGGAGAGCCAACCGCTGCACAGTGTGGTCAAACAGACCACTAGAAGTTGAGGAGAGCCAACCGCTGCACAGTGTGGTCAAACAGACAGCCAACCGCTGCACAGTGTGGTCAAACAGACCACTAGAAGTTGAGGAGAGCCAACCGCTGCACAGTGTGGTCAAACAGACCACTACAAGTTGAGGAGAGCCAACCGCTGCACAGTGTGGTCAAACAGACCACTACACGTTGAGGAGAGCCAACCGCTGCACAGTGTGGTCAAACAGACCACTAGAAGTTGAGGAGAGCCAACCGCTGCACAGTGTGGTCAAACAGACCACTAGAAGTTGAGGAGAGCCAACCGCTGCACAGTGTGGTCAAACAGACCACTACAAGTTGAGGAGAGCCAACCGCTGCACAGTGTGGTCAAACAGACCACTACAAGTTGAGGAGAGCCAACCGCGCTGCACAGTGTGGTCAAACTCTGGTCAAACTCCTCTACCTTGCTCCACTACACCGTCTCGTCAAATAGTCCCCTCTACCTCGCTCTAACGGCTACGGTTTTGGTCAAACTCTTCTCCTCCTCCACTCTGGTCAAACTCGTTTACCTTTGCCCTAAATGACTTTACTTGTAGGAGGGATTCTTTCCTTTACCACAGGTCAAACAGGACTAGCATGGCTGATGCCAGGTTAAACTATAGGCCGTGTACCAACCAACTACTGACGTACCCGACTCAAGCCCTTGGCTCTTATGAGGATCTACTGCTGCCACCACTACACAATGTGTTCCTTTCTTCTTCATACTTTTTATG